AGACATGGTGTAACATTGGTTTTGCTTTGTTTCACAGAACTAATCGTTGCCTGGGTTGCGTACGTATATGTGGGGCGGAGCTATCAAAATAGGGGCAAGACCCTTTTGGGGTAAGGGCGTGTTTGTTTTGGTGATTTCAAATATCAACATTGGCTACCAGAAATCGCTTACTCTGCCTTTAACAGCAGTTTGCTGTGTTGTCTGTGCTGTTAATGCTGAGTGTACAATTTTTTGTAGCATCTGGGAAACAGATGTAATAGATTTAAAATATATTTTGGTTATTACTTTAGGCTGGGTTGGAGTAATCAAATAACATTTGGCTGATCAGAAACTGGCAGCCCAGTTAGGAGAATTAGAAATGTTAGATATAACTGGTAAGTGAAGATTTTGGCATAGTTGATTGTCACAATGTAATTCAAACTTTGCAAACAGGCTGTTTTTGAACGTTGATGCAGGTATATCAGTCATCACAGCAAAACCACAGTACAGTGAGTTTTGTGAGCACAGCGCAGTGTAGTTTCTCGTTTCACATGCAAAAAGGAGTGTTTACAGAGTGTTATGGTTATAGTAGCATAAAAACAGCCTTTTTAACTCGAAGAGTCAGGGAGGATGGAAAATGGTCATGCAGAAATAAATTATGACTTAACATTTATAAATAGACCTCAAGGGAAAAATAAATCATAAAAATGAATCATATGATCCTTTTAGAACAGCAAACTTTGTCATAAATGAACATATACTTAAAAAAAATATTTTATTTTAATTTTAGAGACAGTGATTTTTTTCCTTAGCAAGAGCTGTAGCAGCAATTATTAAAATGCATTTACTTAAAATCTCAGGTCACTGTATAGTACCGATCCATCTTTGGCTTGTGTATTGTGTATGCAGCACGCATTATGACAAATGTGACATTTAGCGTGTTCTTTCAAGAGGTATACAATATTGGCGGTTCTGTACGGCTTTTCTGTGGTCTCAGGATAGTTAGTGTCATCTATTCCCTTTAAACAGGAATAGAGAATGCTATGCAACAGCAAACACCAAAAAACATGCCACTACTGTGGTGATCGCCCTCCCACATGGCTGACAGCCCGTCATTTTAGAGATTGAGGGTTTGACTCTGGAATCAAATAAATGATGTGCTATGACACGTCGCCTTGAGCTGAGCTAAGTATATGAGCCACAGCTGGAGCCGGGCTGTATTTTAAATGTCAGACAGGAATTGTCTTTAAAAATCAAACCACTTAGGACACTAACGCAAGCCAGAGCAGCATCAAAATGCTCCTCGTCCACTCGATTTAAACTTGTGTTTATTATCCCAGCTCTGATACAGCAAACGCTCTGTGGCTTTGATTCTGGGAAGAGCGGTGCTTAACCTTACGATTTACCATAAGCATGTGTCTAAAATCAGTTTGAAAGGCATTCAGAAAGAGGAAGACAAACAAGCACAGCGTCAATGTGCGTAATATCAGATGGTTTTATTGAGGTCTTCCTCGTTCCACCAAACACTTGCTCTCCGTATCAGCTGCGAAAAAGAATTTCTTTGTCTAGCTGCAATCTGTAAGTCCAGAAATAATGTAGGGTTTACAAAACACCATCAAACACCTTTATTTGCAATCATTGTTTGTCCTGGAAGAAGGAAGTGAGTTTTATTTACTTCAAAAGAAATCCCGTCTCTGCTGTAGTGTTAGCCAGACAGGTACCGTCAGCACTGAGATCTTTCTTTGTCTTCATACTTCCTTCACAATCAGAGTGAAATTGTTGATAATTTTTGTATTTTGTGACGCTCTGCTCTTTTAGTCTGTGACTGTTGTGTGGTAGACAGTCTGACTGACTGTCAAACCCAGGTTTCATTACTCTGAGGAAGTGTGAGTGGTTCCAGTGCTTACACGGATGTGACATGCTCATTCTCACCGTTTGCAGTGTTTAATGGGCTCGGGGCCAAACTGTAACCAACGGAAACTCGGCCCTCGTTGGACTAGAGTCAGCTGACTCCACATTCCCATGGTCCCTTCAGAGAAGGGCATCGAAGTCAATCTCTGAAAACACACGGCAGAGAAAATGTTTGGACAGAAGCTCAGCTGAGCATCATGGGAAGAGAATACATGATACTATTAAAGGGATAGTTCAGCCAAAAATTTCAATTCTGTCATGATTTACATAATTTCCAAACTCCAAACATGTATGATAATGTTTCTTCTGTGGAGCAAAAACAACGTTTTTTAAAAAAGTTTTTGTTTTTTCCATACAATGAATGTCACTGGTGTCCAGTGTTGTGTTAAAACCCCATTGTCTTTCATTGTATGGTCAAAAACAGTTGAAACATACTCCAATTCTTCATTCTTTAAAATCTTTTTTTTTTTTTTTGAAGTTACTTAATTCGTTTTTTTTTTTAAATCTACAGATTTAGTTGTATGTGAGAATTGAATTTGAAAAACATGTTGTTGGTCATTCTTTGTGGGTGAGAGACCAAAAAAACTTGTGAATTCTTGTGAACACGGTGTTGGTGCTAAGTAAAGCCACAAGCTGTTTTGGAAATATTTGCTGCTTTCATCAAATGTGTATGTGTTACAACCACATTTTATGCACAAATTCCTACAAATAGTAATGCCATCAACTTTGGATCAAATTTGATATGTCATTATCATCACAAAGTTCAACTATAAATATCAGCATATATAGAATACATTAAGCACATTGAGTACTGAACACACTAATATGTTATGTCCAGTGAGCTTGTTTGTTTGTTTGGCATCTTCGTAAGTGATTTTATCTTTCATACAGAAGGAGTTCTTCTCAGGAGTTATTTATGCATGCAGAGATGGATAGACGTTATCTGCCTCTGAGGAGGCGGCCAGGAATGTTTGATTAAATCCTGTCTTCCTAAGCTATGTCTTCCTATTGTGTTAAACGCTTAACGTGTCTTGAAGCATGCCTTACTCTCACAGTAATTGCAGAGATGTTGCTATTTCCATTGACTTAGTAATAATAGGCAGTTATTAAAATATAATTAATTATAATTTACACTTTCATCATCATAGCAGCAGCAGCGTGTATGACACTTATCTTGATAGATGGTGTTGGTTTCACTATGAATGCAAAGTAGGAAAACTAAAAATGGATTTCCTTCTACAGCTGTATAAATGGACAGAATTGTTTCTTGGTTGTTGACAAACAATGTCTTTTTTCCTAAAATTTTCACAACTTTTATTTAGTCGCTGTTTTGCGGTTCTTGTAATGTGACAAATTAAATTGTTAAAAGTATTATTATTCCTATTATATTCCTATTTATCTCTTAATTAAGCTAATAAAAATGTGTATAATATTTTTAGAAAATTGTTGTTAGATGTTTAGATTCATAAAACATATCACTCTGCTATGAAACTAGTGTCACTGCTTGACATTTCAAGTCAACTATCCTTAAATGAATGTCATTCAGCTCATTGTGCATGCTTGAGATAACTGCTCGTGTGCATTAGTCATCACAATGAGTAATGCAGTGTTACTTTAATTATTTGATGACATTCATTCTTCTCTTTCTGTTGTCCAAATAGCAGATCATCTGAGACTCTATACGTCTGGAGAAAGACAGATGTTGCATCACTTTACTGAATTGGGCCTGTCCTTTCTTAAAGCCAGGGCAAAAACACTACGGTTCCACAGTAAGAGGAACGTAAACATACAGGCTACGAGAAAAACATCAACATGGGTTGAGTAGTTTTATAGGTCATTGCACTAGATTAGAAACTAGAGAAGTTTATATTTAACCAGCAAGGTATGAGAGGCTACATCATAAACATAGTCACAACTAAAGTCCCTGACACCCCTTTATTTCTGACTATACTCCCAGTACAACATAGCATTGAGTGAAATATAATATTTTATACTGTATATAGTGAGATGGCAGTGAGATGTCTTATATCATAGCTGTTTGTACTTCCTGTATTAGCTCTGTTGCCCAGTTAGCATCCGGGGCCAGAACGTTCCCTTTTAGAAGATGCTGAGTACTATTTATAAAACATTGTATAATCCATGTGCATGCTCAAAAATGGGACACTACAAGTCTCATCTCTCATCCTCAACAGATTGTAGCATTACATAAATGTCATATTTGATCCCGTTGAAATTTTAAGTATGATGACCAAATATTTAAATGAACAGGAGAGTGACTGTTATCAATCAGCACTCACTCATTTGTAATTTAAACCACAAAATGAAGACAACTAGCATATTTTTATATGACTAAATGGAATGCAATGTGGCAAAGAGGAGTTTAGTAGTTTGTTTCGCACGCACCAGTGGAGTTTTGATGTGATGTAAAAAAACGACACATGATAATCTATACTTTTGGTTTCATTTCCTTTTATGAGCTCTTTTCCAGTAAGGTCTGTTGTGTTATAAGGCAATGTTATTCACAAACAAAGTATGGCCTTCATAATGGGATGCCCAGTTTGTTGCTGACCCCTGGAGGGTGTGTGGGTAGAATGACAAAGCCTCCCCATTCAACCCATGATGTGTTCTTGACCTCAACCTGATGCAAACTATATTCACACAGACACAAAAGACCAAATTGCACGGATGTCGTCAACAATTAGCATATTATCCAACAGAGTGTTTTAAATAAATAGGAAATAGATGGTGATGATGAAACCTACTTGGTTTAGTGTGCTTAATATATAGCTCACATAGCTCGCTCTTGAGATCAGAGAAGCACAGTCTGTGGCTTTTACAGGCACAAGTGGTTCACCTTTGTGCTGTTAACCTTTGGTAATTTTACCTTTGTGGACTCCTTCACTTATGTTGCCAAAATGCAGATAATCCTCCACTTGCAGTATGAAGCTTGTATAAGCTATATATATTTACTGTGACTAATTTGTAATCAGCATGAGAGGTATTTACTCGAAATCAAAGTTCAGTGCAGTACAGGAGATCTAGTGCACTGACATGATGCTTTTCTTTATTACTCTAGCTAACCACAGTATGTTGTGCGTGTGTGTGTGCAGTGCTGGAGCAGCTGTTGGAGCAGCTGCAGAGGTTCCTGAAGATCCTGGATGGAGAGAAGCTGAGTGGAAATGCCACAGTGCAGAAGGGCCTTCTGATGGAGCTGCTGCAGTCGTACAAGTCTTCCGATGGTACATAAATAACATCATAATGTCTACACTAACCATCTGACTCTAAACCAGACAGTGCTTCTCAAACTGTGATTGGTGGTCCATGAATGATTCTTAATGGTCTGCGAGCTGATTAGACAAAAAGGACTAACAATGAATGAATTGAGAAATTATTTAGTATACAACCTTTTTTGGGGTTGGTACATTTAAAAAAAAAAAAAGTTTTTTGAAAGAAGTCTTTTGCATGCATTTATTTGATCAAAAATACAGTAAAAACAGTAATATTGTGAAATATTATTGCATTTTAAATAACAATTTTCTATTTTAATATATTTTAAAATGTAATTTATTCCTGTGATACCAAGCTGATTTTTCAACAGCCATTACGCCAGTCACATGATCCTTTAGAAATTATTCTAATACTGATTTGGTGCTCACAAACCATTTCTAATTATCATCAGTGTTGTGCTGCTTAATATTTTAGTGCAAACTGTGATAATTGTTTTTCAAGATTCTTTGATGAAAGAATGCTAATAGAAGCGTTTATTTGAAACTGAATTCTTTTGTAACATTATAAATGCTTTTACTGTCCTTTTATGGTTAATTTCTAAATGATCCTTCATCCTTACTAAATGAAAGTATTTATTTCTTTTAAAAATCTTACTAACCCCAAACTTTCAACAGTACTTTACATGAAGATTATTTCAGTTTAGTTAGCTGATTTTTGAATCTATGGTTAACGCACAATTATATGACAAACCTAATTTTGTGCTGCTCATGTAGGAGCACTCTACTGGTGCAAATAGAAAGTAGCAAAAGATCCAACAAATGTACAGTTTTATTTACAGTATATGTATTTGAGCATGACACTTGCCTAGTGCAATTGTCCTCACAAAGAGCAACAGTTGTGTGTACATTTATAGCTTCTGTGTTGTTTAGAGAATCTGCTCTGTTCTGTCTTATTAAGGAGCCCGTAATTTTGGTCCGTGCATGTGCTTCTTTCTTCACACAAGCATGGCTGTAGGTTTTTCATGTTCTGGTCTTGGGCTTGTGCACTTCCTCCCCTGGCTCCAAACTGTATCATTTTCCAAGGCTGTTTTTATCCTCTAGATACACTCACTTCCTTTTAGTAGCAGCTTATAAATAGCTTTCATTTCCATCCTCCAAATCCCAATCTGTTTTCACTGTACCATCGAAACGTTTTTTGGCTTCATCACAGGATTTTATTTCCCCAAAAAAATGCATTAAAGCTGTGTGGACTGCCATGTTCCTTGTTTCTGCCATGGTAACATCTTGTCCCGTATGCTTAATTTAGTGTATCTGAATTATTTTGAAGATCCAAAAAACACCCTAAAATGTTATCTGTTGCCAAGCAAGTGCTATAAAACCATATCCTACAGACTGGGACTAAATCAGCACTTTTATTTTGATAGAATATGACCTATCTATGTCTCCCACTGGCCTGTCTTTGATGTGTATAGAAGGAGGGGCCCTGGAGATGCCTTTGGACCCTTACACAAGAGAAGTGTAACACAAAACTCACACTGTTCTTCTCTATAACAGAAATCTATTACATGTTCAGTAAAATGAGTGACAGATAAAAGGGTCCAGAATCGGAAAAAGCATTAGATATGAGATGAGGGGGAGGAAAAGTCAAAGAAGTCCTAGAAGTTCCAGGCAAGGTTATTTGAGTGGAGCAGAGTATCTTTACTCCAGTAAGTTCACAGTGGCCCCAAAAGTATTTGGACAATTAGGCCACACTTAAAGGGATAGTTCACCAAAAAATGAAAATTACCCCATGATTTACTCACCCTCAAGCCATTCTAGGTGTATATGACTTTCTTCTTTCAGACGAATATAATTGGAGTTATATTAAAAAATGTCCCAGCTCCTCCAAGCTTTATAATAGCAGTGAATGGGGATGGAGATTCAATAGTCCAAAAAAAGTGCATCCATTCATCATGAAAAGATGGCTCCAGGGGGTTAATAAAGGCCTTCTGAAGCAAATTGAGAGTGAACGCCGCTCTCTCGTGAATGCACATATGACAGTTAGCAGAAGCTAGAAATTACAGTTTATAAAGTTTAAATATGGATACCTGGGAGCCATGTGGAGCACTTTTTATGATGGATTGATGCACTTTATTGGACTTCTATTGGATTATTGAATCTCAATCCCCAATCACTGCCATTATAAAGCTTGGAAGAGCCAGGACCGTTTTTAATATAACTCCGATTGATTGTATTCATCTGAAAGAAGAAAGAAGAAAGTCATACACCTATTGGATGGCTTGAGAGTGAGTAAATAATGGAGTAATTTTCATTTTTGGGGAACTATCCCTTTGAATACAAATACTTTGTACCTTGAATTCAAACAATATTTATTTTTTATCAATTTAAACATAATTTTTTTGTATGTGAAATGTTTTACTTGGAATCTCTGTATGGGCTTTATTTCTGTAAAATAAATACCCCTTAGTTTAATATTTTGTAGAGATGCTTGATATCTAGGTATCACATATAAAGGTATCGGTTGATATTGGATATGTATTTGTTGATATTGGATGTTTAATTGTGCATGCTCATTTCCTAGATTTTTAAAATATATTACCTTTGCATCATCTAATGCTCACTTAAAGTTGGTTTTTAAAAACACATATAATTAAAGAAAAATAATAGTGCTGAATGTAATCTTTCATAAAGTACATTATATCATGCTGTGGTATCTAGTACTTTTTTATTTAATTTATTAGTCTCCTAACAATTCAAAAATATTTTTACTTTTATGGCAAATTTGTGGCAAATTCATATGAATTTGTACAATCTCATTCATACACATTCATACCGATGGGGTTCATGCTTATGCTTATATATATAGTTTATTTTAAATTTTTCTATTAATCACATCATGGAAATGTCAACTTTGTAAAATACTTGTGCTTCTTCATGAGCCTGGGTTGGTAAATTAAGTGTCCAGATAATTTTTGGGCTCCTGTGGCACAAAAAACCAGCACAAAAACCTATAATTGTGGAATCATGTGAGAAAGATTTTAACAAGATTCAGCTTTAAACAAAATTTAAAACAAGATTCAAATTTGTAATCCAGTCTTTAATGATGGTTATTTTGCAGGAGGAGATGAAGAATACATCTACATGAACAAGGTCATCGTCACATGTCAAAACCAAGACAAAACATACAGAGGTGAGTCTATAATCTTCACCGTAATTTACTTACAGTAACTTTTGCAGGTGTGAGGATGAAAATGGCCCCTGACTCTGTCACATATCACAGTAGTTTATCTTGTTGTTTGACTGCACCGCTGTGAATGTGTGTCATGTTTAGGGGGTGATTGGGTTATGGCTGAAGTGTTAAGCCCCCCTCCCCCTACTCTTCACCATTTCCTGTCTGTTTCTCAGTAACTCCTGTCCTCTTCTTGCTCTCTCTCTGCCAGACCCCCATCTGAGGCCAAGCTGCTTTGTTTAGATTTCACTGAAGAATGAGAGTAACAATAACACCAGACTTAACATTCACATCGCAGTTGTCTGTGCCAAAAAGATACATGCATGACTAAACTGTGGTGGCGTTCTTTGATCAAAATCACAAATGGCACCATTTTAACAAACAATTTTTAAAAAGCTTATCAAGAGAACAACCCTTTGAAGTTCAGTATAATGCCTTTTATTTTATCATTTATTTCAAGCACAATGATTTCATCATTTCCTGCCCATATGTGAAAATTTCCCCAACCTTGTGTTAATTTGCATCTGATAAATCAATGATAAAAATGAAGTGCGATGAGTGACTTATGTGACACAACATGCAATAGCTCACGTATACCAACAGAGAAATGTACAGTGGTGGCCAAAATGATTAGAACACTAGTATTTTCACCAGCTCAAAAATGGTTTTAAGTCAGTTATTTCTATCTTTTGCTGTAGTGTGTCAGTAGGAAATATCTGTTTACATCTCCAAACAATCATTTTGCCATTAATTTTTGTTTGCACAATGAGTCTGACAACAGCCAGAGATCTGATCTCATCATCATCCATTCTGTCTGGAATGACATGAAGAAACAGAACAAACTGAGACAAACTAAATCCAGAAGAACTGTGGCAACTTCTCCAAGATGCTTCAAGAAACCTACCTGCAAAGCTGCAGTACTGTTAAAAGTTTTAGGCACTTGTGTCAAAATGCTGTAAAATGAGGATGCTGTTAAAAATAATGTCAGAAATAGATTTTCTTTATCAATTAACTTCTATTAACTAAATTAAATCAACATTTGGTGTGACCATCCTTTGCGTTTAAAGCAGCTTTTGCCCTAGATGCACTTGTGCATAGTTTTTCAGGTAGCTTTGCAGGTAGGTCTCTTGAAGCATCTTGGAGAAGTTGCCACAGTTCTTCTGGATTTAGTCTGTCTCGGTTTGTTCTGTTTCTTCATGTCATTCCTGACACATTACAGCAAAAGATAGAAATAACTGATTTAAAACCATTTTTCGCTGGTGAAAATACTAGTGTTCTAATAATTTTGGTCACCACTGTAAGTGGTGTGGATAAATCGAATTTCAGTGAAAAGCAGCACTTCATGGTGTCTTGACTCTTTGGTGACTCTTAGCCCTTGCTGTGCGGGTTTGGTATTCGCCTTGCGTTCCTACGGCAACCCAGATGTTACCGTTTGGAAAGGAAGTCGAAGGAATGTCTGATGGGAAGCCACTGAATATGGCCATCAGCTCTAAGAGACTGCCGCAGGCTATGCAATGTTACCAGAGCTGAGCCGCTAGCATATGCAAACAGTGGTAGATGAACAACAGAATTAATATGTTTACTTGTTGCTTGCAAGCACAGCTGTTCAATGCTTCTAATTGCTGCACTTGATGAATGCTTTGAGAAGTCTTCAATCTATTTATTAACAGCCACTTTTGTTCTGTGTGAAAATCAATATGCTCCTCAGACTACAGACCAGAAGCCAATGGAGAACCATGTAAACACATCACTGTGAAGAACCCACCAGAGCCTCCACCTCCCAGACCAGTAAGTGACTCATTTCAACTTCATTTAAACATTATTTACAGAATGACAAAGATGCGAAAGGTTAGAAAAACACAGATTCATTTCACACTAAGTTTGTTTTGAAATGCTAGCATGACACCAGTGTTGGGTAATGCATTACAAATAATGCAAGTTATGTAATCAGATTACGTAGATTACAGTAACGCAGTACTTTTAAATTGACAACAAAATATCTGAGTTACTTTTTCAAGTGATTAATGCAAGTTACTTTGTTTTTCCATTTATTGACTGACATATCTCCTGACCCCGTGTTGAGAAAAATTGGGAGTGAAGTGCTGAGGCACTTCCTTCTGCCTCAGTAAAAGGGTGAGAGTAAAGGGGTGTGACAGGGCCCTTACAGTTGCCCATGTATTAAAAAACAAATAAGCAAGCCCAGCCCAGGTGACAAAAAGTAACACAATAGTAACATACCAAGTTACTTTCCATAAAAAGTAACTAAGTAACACAATTAGTTACATTTAATAAAGTTACGCAGTATTGTAATGCATTACTTTTAAAAGAAACTTTCGCCAACACAAATGCAACACTATATATAATCTACTATTAGGGTTGGGCAATACAGTATATATAGAATAGTCAAGCTATGTTTGCATTTATTTTCTGTGCATATCACAATTATTTTAACACACTTTTTTAGTGCTTTTCAATTAATTGATTCATAATTCAAATATTCAGTGATTGAGGAATCTGTGATTTAGTAATTCAAGAATCAATGATTTGTTTACATCATCACTAACAAATGTTCATGGAAGTCTGGACGTAGCATTTTTTTCATGTATTAAAATATTTAAGTTAAATATATGTTGCTTAATATTTCTTTTATTGGTTCATGTAAAGGTGCATAATTTAAAATATTATATTTCTATATTATTATTATTATTATTATTATTATTATTATTATGTTATTTTTCACTGTGTGAATAACATTATTATTTTTAACTAGATTTGTACTTTATTTTACATAAACATTAAATATTTTGATTCTATTTAATTGCAGTTTGGTTAAAAGAAGCCATAACAGAGTAAATACATATTGATGAATATAATCAATATACATAAAAAATATAGCTATGTATGTATTTTCATTTAGCTATATCTGCCTTTCAATCTCACTACCTACAATGCAAGACACTGTGGTCCTGCTGTCATTTATTATCTACTGTTTACTTTCATTTTGACCACATATTTGTTATGTATCTGTTTCCCACGCTCAGAAAAAAATGGCTGTGTGTTTTTGTTTATAAGCCACAAAGTAGCCAAATAACTAGTCGATAATGAAGCCTGCCTTGATTAGAAACAGTAATTCTCCTAAAAGATAACATGCTCATTTTCATCAAATGATAGAAATACAAGTAAGGAAGCAAAAGCGTGGAGTCACTGCGTTGAAATACTTTGTAACTCCTGTATCTGCTGTGGGAGTCTGCAGTTGGTCAGACATACAGACAGACAGGAGGATGGAGAGTATTAGAGCTCTCCAGTGAGAAGTCTTTGAACTTCAGACCCATCTGCGGGATGCTGGGGCTGATTAACAGCAGCTGCACAAGCGATCGGGGAGCTGTTTATAGAGGCTAGAGAACCGCAGTTAGAGCATGGACACGTGTGCGTGTGCATACTGTAAGTGTGGGAACAAGAAACGTTAGGCCTATTTATTTATTGCGTGTCTCTCATTTGCCGTTGACAGTATGCAAAGAGACAGTTGCTTTTATTTACTGTTTAGAACATTAGATGAATTTGTGCATTTAAATAATTAAAGGGAAATATTGTCATCAAAAATGAAAATTCTGTCATCATTTACTCAATCGTGTGTTGTTCTAAACCTGTATGACTTTCTTTTTTTAAAGGAGATATTTTGAAGAATATAGAAAACAGTGTACAGTGCATTTAAAAAAAAAAGTATTTTGTGCTCAACAGAAGAAAGAAAGTCATACAGGTTTGAAACACTTTGTAATATACCGTTCCTTTAATTACGATTGCAAATAAAATAACAGATTGATCTGCAGTCCCTACGGTGGATAATTAGCCTCTACTGAATCTTCTTCCACACATTGCACTTTGGCGTCCATCTCCAGGGCTTCCTCTGCATCACGTTCCTGCTGTGCATCTGTGCTCTTAGGCAGTCTGAGTAAGCAAGTCCAAAGCGAGCCACTTTTTGGAAAACCCGTCATCTGTCTACGAGGCTTCCACTTGTCACCGCAAATTACATATTCCAGGGTCAAACTGCGGTTGACGGTGAACGCAGAGTTCCCCCTCACCATAGCCGTGAAGAGGGCGCCCCTGCTATTGACGTAGTGTCCTGGCATGGCCGTCCATTGACCCGTAGTGATGTTGTAGCAGTCCATGAGGCAGCGCAGGAAGTCATCACAGGGGCCGTTCCTTATGACATACAGGTTGTCGCCATGAGCCACCATGCAGTGTCCGTAACTCTGAGGCTTGACCATAGTGGTGACCAGCGTCCATTTGTCATTTTTAGGTGCATATTCATAAATGTCCGTAGTATCTGGTGGCTTCCAGAAACACACAAATATCCTACGCCTGCCAACAGCACTAGCCGCCGCAGCCACCGAACGAGGTGCGTGCTTGCAAAATGTCCATGCGCCCGTAGAAACGTCACACGCTTCTACCGAGGACATGATCCTTTTGTCAAATTCACCTCCGATGGCGTACAAATGTCCGTTGTGACCCACCAGGGTAAAGTTATACCTAGACTGCTGAGGACCATCGAACACATTCCAAGTGTTGGAATCTGTGTCATAACAGAAGCTCAAGTCGACCGTTTCCTTGCTAACTCCTCGCACTCCTCCAACGATATACAGTCGGTTCTCCACAACAGCCACCCCGGCCATAGAGGTGCTGGCGTCTGTTGGTAGATCAGTCAGATATTTCCAAGCACCCGGTTTCTCATCGAGGTAAAACACCGTCCTGTAGCAGTCCTGCAGAATCTTCATGGATGGCGAATGAGTCCCTAGAGCGACAAACGATGCTGGTGAATGCGACTCAACGCAGCAGATCAGCTCTTCTGGAAGTGCCTCGAGAGCATCTTGCACGTCGCTATAAGCATCACGAATGAACACAGCAGCGCTGTGAAACAACCTCCACAAGCCGTACACCGCTGCTGTGTGGTACAGAAGAATGCAGTTGTCGGTATCAAGAAGGTCTATCAAGTGCTGGACCAGGACGTCGACTTGGAGGAAGGCCGCACACTCGGCAGCCTCCACGATCTCGTCTGGGTCTCTTATAGCAGGGCACTCACCCCTGGAAACTGCCATGGCGATGAGGAAACCCCTGGCTTTCAAGCCTCCCTGCAGGTGCAACTCGTTCAGCTGACTGTCCTTCATCCCAGAGCGGAAGAGAGCACGGAAATACTCACAGTTCTGCCCCAGGACAGCCCTGTCTATGGTGAAAACGCTCTCTTCAACCCGTACTCTTAGAATTCCAGTGGACTCTTCAACTTGTTTTTCACTTTCGTCCATGCTTTGACCCAAACTGCAAGGGGGCCCCATAACACCTCTCTCCTGCCTGTTTGTACCCAGATTACTCTGTTCATGAACTACAAAGTTAGACTTCGAGTCAGTTAGTGTTTCTGTTTGGATTTGACTTGTAAACAGAAGTGTGCACACGCTGCAGTCTCACAGCTACTTGCTGGACTGAAAATAGCAACACACTAAAATAGCATTGAGGCCACAGACTTCAAAATAGTAGTGGTTAATGATCAGCACTAATGCTACAAAAAAAGTTCCAATGTAATTATGAATTAATGGAGTTTAGATTAAGTTGATTTGATTAAACAATTGAATTAAATAATTATGCTGTTATTTTTTCCCGTAGTTGACTTATAATGATTTTAATAAAGACAGAAACCCATAAATGAAGTGATGACAGTAGTTCAGAAAGCCACTCCTGTTTTTAATAAGACTAAAAAGATTATTTTCCTTCAGTACCCTCTCTACCTCAGAAGTGTTTTGGCCCTGGTGAGTTTTTTTTTCTTCACTGGATTTTTGGCATGGGAACGGGGGGATTTTCCATGTTCTGGGTGTTCTTTTGGTCTCTTGCCCACTTGAATTTTTTGCTTTTTGTCCCAAAGACTGGTTCTTTGTCATTATTTATGTCTTACTCTTGAAATGTTTCCTATATAGACTAAATTTTTTTCTTTAACTCTTTTTTTTTTAAAGGAGAATATGGTGTGATTTGTGGATTAGATTATGAAAACAAGCCTTGGGTGGAGTTCAGTCTCGACTTACAGTACTAAGATTTTAGGATTTGTCTTTTACTCACAGTGATTTTTATAGCATATAAACAGATACCACTTTTGTCCTGTTGATACTGGGATGTGGACATGGTCTTGACATTCAGCAGTGGCCGGAGAAGAAGTGATACAAAGTTGTAGCCTTCCCTGAAATGCCTTCACTTTCTTTTTAATCATTGTCAGATGCCTGAGGACTCAGCACACTGTTTTCTGTTTCAGAGATTTTATGTTGAGTGTCAGAAGAGCGAGGGCGGGATGAAGCGAAAAATGTGGGGGTTGTGAGTTGGGGTTGATGTGAGAAAAACAATACTTTCTACACAGTTCAATCGACATGTTCCTTCTCTTTTGGGCTGCTCTTATTTTCCCACCAAAACCCTAATATATTTTGTTGGTCACTTTACATTTGAGATCACATAACTCTTTGACTCTCGTTCTGCATGACTTATTGAAGCGGAGCCTCTAGCAAGCTTTTGCATTCAACTTCCTGTGTCCTTGACATCCAGTTGTTTATATACATGCCTTGCCATCACTTAGCCTGCCTGCTCGCCTCACTTCTGCTTTCGAGAAGCACAAGCACGTCATGTCAAACAGGAGGTTTCAATCCAGCCACTTAGTATAAAGTTTAATGCAGGCAAGAGGAGATTTTCCCAGCCGTCTGTCTGTAACCTCTTGTCATCATTCAACTTTATGGTTCACAAGCTACCGCTAGCCCTAATCAGCCCTGTGTGTGTGTGTGTGTCATGAGGAGAGGATCAGTGTTCAGTTTGCCCAGGGGCTGTCATTGCATTGTGGGTATCAGTGGGGAATTTAGTAATGTTATGAACTGGCTGATTTGGGAAACCTCATCGCTAGCTCCACACCCTTTTAAAACCATTACTCCTGCAGGCAAACACGTGTGGAATTCCTTTTCAAGCTGAGCAGGGCTGAGGTCAGAGAGAGAGATCAGTTTCGAGGAAGAATCGCCCTTCGGTCAGAAAGAAAAGCCCTCATGAAAGACAGGTGCAGAAACGACTAGTTAAGCTCATCTCAATCCCTCTATTTGATTCATTACATGGGAGTGTGTTAGAGATGTTCAGCTTGGATACAGTCTCTGTGCTGGTGTACTTTGCACATTGTGTTTATGAAGTCTGCTGAAAAGATCAGCATAGGTTTCCATGCTGGATCAGGCTGGTTTATGATGGTTTATTGGTGGTCTAGCTCCAGCATAGTCATGCAGTTAATCAGCAAAACGTGGGTAGTTAAGCTAGTTGACCAGCATGGTGTGGTGAAGCTGGCTGATCAAGGATGTCTTGCCTGTCGTTCCTTCCTGAAATTGACTTGTTTTCTTTTTACACATTCCTGATCTTTTATTCTAATACTACATTAGATAACTATTTTTAATCACACTTTATTTTAAGGTCCAATTCTCGCCATTAACATTCATTAACTACAACTTTTGCCTCAATAAACTCCTAATTTGCTGCTTATTAATAGTTAGTAGGGTAGTTGTTAAGTTTAGGTATTGGGTAGGATTAGTGATGTAGAATATGGTAATGCAGAATATGTGCTTTATACGTACTAATAAACAGACAATATGTTAATAATAGGCATGCTAATAAGCAAGTAGTAAATAGTGAGAGTTGGTCCCTATACAGACTTACTTTTTTATTTACTCTTTAATTGAATTTCATTTTTAAAATATATTTATTTAATAAAAATCACATTCAGGAGACCAGCATCCAATGTAACAGCATTTTCAATAGAAAAAACATAAAAGTGGCATTATAATTCAATGAAATAATCAGTATGTTGACATAATGTTATCTTTTTCTCTCTTATGTTAATTATCTTTCTCTTTTTTCTCATTCTTTTTATCTCAGTGCAACATGGGAAGGGAGCCGTTTCCTCTTCCACCACCTCCTGCTGCTGCGTGTATAGAGACTGAAAGTTACTATGAAGATCCACAACCGTATGATCCTATTAGCATCAATGGTACGTCTCAAATTGGGTCCAAAGTTGACCTAAATACACATTATCTTCTATGGTTTATTCTTTACTTTGACGTTCATGTCAAGCCATTTATAACCTGGTTAAAAAAAAGGATATTTCCAAAGATTAGGTTAGTGATTTGTGACTTTTTATTTTCCTCAACATTGTCCTTTTCACTTTTGTCTTACGAGAGGCAACCTGTGGTCATTGAGTGCTCTGTTTTAGCTCCGTCCCACTGTAGTCTACAGCTTTACTGTGATACAGAGAAGCCTGCGGGCAGGGAGCGCAGAAAACAGTGATGGTCTTTGTTCAACGGTAGCCGGTTCTCTGGCTCTGGGCACACAGTGACGGAACATTGACCGTGAGCCCAGGAAATGGGGCCAACAGTGATGGGGCACTTGGCTGGGGTTGCAGAGTTCAGCCCAGCGAGGGGACAACCATTTACAATATTCTTCAGAAGATGACGTCTCTTCTTGGTCAAAGGATACAGAGGCATTAGCATGCAGCTGTGCTGTGTAAAATCAACACACAAGGGCTGTGCATGGCCAAAATCTGATGTTTCGGCAGCTATCAAGCCAAGCCTCATGGTTTAGGATGAGTGAATTTCTACATGGATACGTTTTGACAGTGATGAAACCCTAAAATAATACAAGCAGTAATGCTGCTGGTTGCATAAAAACCACAAGACACAAATATTTAGTGCAGCCCCAAAATATCAGTATTGCAATACTAATGAACATTTCTCATGCATCAAACGCACTTGTTTACTCTTCCTGTTTCTTTCATGTGACATGTAAGCCACATAAGGTTTCACTATCTACAGCTTCTCACCTGATCTTTTTTTCTCTTCCTCCCTTATTGCATTTCCCCTTTTATTGTCCTCCTGTGTTTCTATAGATTTTGGGTGCTTTGCCATCATCACAGGGGTCAGGAAGCGCATAGAAGCGTCAAACAGTGAGGTCTATGCTGTGATCACTCGGGGTATCTATCTCTGTTTCTCTCAGTGTACATCAAGAGAGAAAAACAATCAAACAGCACTAACTTTATAGGCTGCGGTGAAGTGCACGGCTCTGAGAAAACCTCATTGTTTGATGCATCCAGGCTCAAGGCTGCTGACTTTGCATGTGCTTGCTTGCTTAAGAGCATGCCTGCCATATTCATGATGTACTCTTACTTCTCTGTGCCCCAAAGCTCTCAGAAATACCTTTATCTAGACTAAACTATGTAGACAAACCAATTAAAAAACAATCATTCCCCCCCATCATGTTCTGATTTACTAATCCTCATCTTGTTCCTTTTGTTTTCCACGGAAGAAACTCACACAGGACTGAAAAAACAGAACATTTTTGAGTTACAATTCTCTCACACAATGCTAAATTCAACAGAATTTGTAGGGAATTACTTGCTATTTAGAGGATTTTTACTTTCTTTTATCCCAGTGCACTGGCAATGAACAATGAGACCAGCCTCGCCTTCTTTGCTTATTGATTCATATACACATTTCGCATTTACAGAAGATACAGAACCAGTGAGCAGTTCGTACGAGTCCTATGATGAGGAAGAAGTGACGAAGGGTAAGTCCACTGCGCAGCACCAGTGGCCGTCTCCTGAGGCATCCATCGAGCTAATGAAAGATGCACGCATCTGTGCCTTCCTCTGGAGGAAGAAGTGGCTCGGCCAGTGGGCTAAACAGCTGTGTGTCATCCGCGAACATCGTCTCTTGGTATGTGACATCATTGCTTATGTCAGTGACACCCATTTCCCACCCATAGCTCATCTATGATATGAATGTGTACACAGAATGTTTACACGTATTACTAATACTAGCAGTAATTATTTACTTAAATGTTTGCTTTCAACTTTAATATTCCTTTCAAACAGACAATTTAGTCAACATAAATAAAAATGACCATATTTACTTTCTTAATGCACATTACTGGTCTACCTGTGTATGGTTTATTGTTGCACATAATTATGAAGAATACAAGTTTGTCTTTTTGTAATCTTTAATCAAAATGTAATAACTTACGCCACCCCTGAAGTGACTTTATTTGGATGGTGTCACCAAGACCTCTTAAAGTCATCCACCTCTCATGGACCATTTCATGATTCAGTCAATTTTCAGTGGAAAAAAAAAATCAAGTTCCACCCATAAAAATCCTCAAAAATGTCTCATTACAGAAGAAAAATGGGATGCAACCATTTTGCACCTAACATTTACATTTATGCATTTGGCAGATGCTGACTTAAACTGCATTGAAGCTATACATTTTATCAGTGCATGCAGTTATTGTGAATCGCACCCATGACCTTGGCGTTGCTAGCATCATGATCAATTTTTGCTACAAAAATGTTTTATGTTGACATTTACTAGCACTAGTGGAATATCCACGATTTTTAATAAAGCTCTATTAGGAATAATATTTAATTAAAATAGTCAGTGTCTGATTTTTTTTTTTAATGCTACTGTGTTCAGTGCTACAAAAGCTCAAAGGATCAGACTCCACTGCTGGATATCAGTCTGCTGGGCTGCAGTGTTGTCTACAAAGAGAAACAAACTAAGAGGAAAGAGCACAAGCTAAAAATAACCCCACTGGGTGGAGAAGCCATCGTCCTGGGACTGCAGAGCAAAGAGCAGGCTGAACAATGGCTAAAGGTGAGGGCCAATGGGGTCTGGCCCATATAGATGAATAATCAGTGTTCTGTTTGTGCAGACATTGTTTATAGCCTTTCATCTTTATTCAAGGTTATTCAAGAAATTAGTCCGAAGAATACTGCAGGATCTGCTGATGTAACTGACTCTCCAACACTCATCTGTACTAAGGTATGATAGATTGGGGTTTATTCTCTGATTGATTTATGTATGAAACTCTGTCTAATTTTGGGTGGACTTTTCATAAAGTAGTCTGTATCATGTTAAGCTTAAAAGTTCTGCCTTTCTGGCAGGGTGAGCAAAGCGAGAGATATTCAGTGGCGTCTGAGAGTGGCAGCAGCACAGACAGTCACGCAGAGAACCTGGAGAACAAAGATGGTGAGAGTGGACCATTGCAGCAATTCTTAGGTGTCTGTTTGCTTGACTACACTGGAAGTGACTTGAAGTTGTCTAAACTGGTAGAGTTGAAGATGCTTGTCACCTCAGAATGTTGCTTAACCATGAACCAATCAGCTGTATAATCAGTTGCAGACTTGACTGCAGCATCAATACAAATACAGTTGATAACTTTGTATACCTGTTATTTTCAATGGAAATACATTGATATAAGAATAAAAAATGCATCATGATAATTAGAAACGAGGCGATCAACTAAAGTTGTAATACCTCACCAGGCACTTCCAGAGTAGAAAGCTTAATTGATTATAGTGTGTATATATGCATCATATACAAGTTCAAAACGTTGGGGTCAGTATTATTTTTTAAGTAATTTCTATACTTTTATTTAGCAGAAATGCATAATATTTTTCAAAATTTACATTGAAGACATGTAACGTTATAAAAGATTTATATATTTTAAAAAAAATTGTTCTTTTGAATTTTATATTCATCAAATATTCCTGGAAAACAAAGTGTATCACGGTTTTCACAAAAATATTAATTGTTTTCAACACTGATATCAAATCAGCATATGAGAAGGATTTCTGAAGGATCATGTGACTCTGAAAACTGGAGTAATGGCTGCTGAAAATTCAGCTTTGCCAACACTGCCATAAATTACATTTTAAATTTATTTTAAATTATAATATTTCACATTATTACTGTAGTAGTTATATTATTGTAATTGTATTTAATATTTACCTTTCAATTGTCATTTAAACTTTAGTTAAGAAGAAATACGGCAAGTTTAGTAACCTTATGAACATTGGAAAAAAGAAGGTTTCCTCTTTGGAAAATCCGGAGAAGACTGTGGATACGTCAGGTAACCAATCATCAATATTATTAGTTGACAAGTTTTAAAAACTTCCACAAAACCTACCATTTTCATCACCTTCTCTTTGTTCCAGGCTACCTAAATGTCCTGGTGAACACTCAGTGGAAAAGCAGGTGGTGCTCAGTGAGGGACAGGCAACTTTGGATCTACAACGACAAAAGCAAGAGCAAAGCGTCCCAGCAGCCAGTGGCTCTGGAGGGGTGCATGGTCCTGCCAGACCCCAGCCCTGAGCACCTGTACTCATTCCGCATCCAAATGCATGGTGAGGAGCTCGCAACCATAGAAGTGAGTAAAGAGAGGTCACTCAAACAAAACGTTTGTGGTGTATAACATCTGTATTAGACAATTGTTTGTTACAGTAAACCAGAAGACCAGAGGTGATTGATTAGTAATTCTTTACACTCTCATAATAAGCCACTGTTTTTCCCAGTCTCACTGTCTGATGCCCTCGTGTATTTTGGCATCAGTCCAACAGCCTGAATGAGATTTCTGAAAACTCCCCTCTCTTTCATTCAGTTCTGGTGTATACAGCTTTGTGTGATTCACAGCTATTTTTTTTATGTAAATAATGGACACTTCCAAATGATATACACTACTGTTCCAAAGTTTGAAGTCTCTTGTGCTCACGAAGCTGCATTTATTTGACCAAAAATATAGAAAAAAACACTAATATTGTGGAATATTTTTACAACTTAACATAACAGATTTCTTTTTTAATATTATGAAAATGCAATTTATTCCTGTGATGGTAAAGCTGAATTTCCAGCAGCCATTACTCCAGTCTTCAGTGTCACATGATCCTTCATAAAACGTTCTAATATGCTGTTTTGCAGCTTAAGAAACATTTCTTAATATTATCTACAGTATGTTGAAAACAGTTGTGCTGCTTAATGTTTTTGCAGAGACTGTGATGCATTTTTTCTGGATTTTTAGATAAATAGATTTTCTTGAGATAGAATATTGATCTGAAATAGAATTTTTTTTATGCATTTTTTTTTTTTTGGCAGATAGTTTTACCAGGCCTAGCTGCACCCGTGAAGATATATGAATATCTTAGGGGGCATCGATGATTAAAAATCCTCCTATTTCCTCTCAGACTAAGTCCTCTGCTGATATGGGCCACTGGCTAGGGCTCATACTGTCACAGACAGGCACCAAAACAGACCCAGAAGATCTCACCTACGACTATGTGAACTCTGAGAGAATATCCAGTATTGTCAATGCTGCCAAGACATCCATGTAGTAAGTTACTTCATGTACATCAGTTGTTATTAAAACAAATAAAAGTATAGTTCACACAAAAATGAACATTTTGTCATCATTTTCTCACCCTCATATGTTGTCACAAACCTGCATGGGTTTCTTCCATGGTGTACAAAAGGAGAAAATTTGAACAATAGCCTTGAGGCTGAGACTGTAAACAGACAAAATGAAATAAAGTATAGCATAAAACACAAATACACCATAAAATTGGCCCATATTACTTATGAATCATATTCATAGTCATATGAGAGGTTTGTTTGCTTTTTTGAGATTTTGGAGCCTGATTTGTTTGTATTTGTCAGTCTAATGCAGAGGAGGTACTCGGAGCCCAACACATACACAGACAGCCCTCCGTCAGACCCTCATACCTGTGATGACATATACGATGATGTACCATCCACAGAGAACGAACAGGAGGTGGGGGAGACACACTTGCCATGCTTTTGTCATTAATCTACAGCACCCACTTTCCTGCAGCTGTGCTTATTTTGATATTGAAGATTCACTAAGCATTCTGCCAAAAATAATAAGAGTGACAGGAAGTCATTGCTGTGACAGTGTTGTGTTTTTGTAACCCTGCAGGCCGTCCAACTTCAATAATGTTTCTCTGATACTGTTGCTCTCTCCGGCTGTAGGAGGTTCAAGAGGTTCAGAATGACAGCGAGGAGGGAACAGCAAGCGGCGAGGAGAACGGGAAGGACAGAGTGTATCTGGATCTGATCCCGGTTCGCTCCTTCCTGCACACGAGCTCGGGCAGAGTGTCACCTCAGACGTCCAACACCGCACAGACAGAGCTCAGTCCCTCAGCTGCTCCCCAGGATGATCAGCTACACCCTAAAGAGGTTAACCATTTTAAAATGTAAAATACATGTTATTAGATCTAAATTTGAGCTATTTATTTATGTATGTTTCATTTCTTTAAATTGACTAATTTTTAATGGAAATCTTTTGCAACATTATAAATGTCTTTTTCATACATTTTAAGCATCCTTGCATTAAATAATTTATAAAAAAAAAAAAAATTACCTGAGCTTAAACTTTTGAACAAGAGTGTATATATACATTTTGCCAGTATGTGCATTCCCTGGTAATTAAATTCATTACCTTGGTGTTGTTAGTGCCAAAATACAAATATTTACTTATTAATAATGATATAAAATTAAATAAAAACGTATACTGCCGTTCAAAAGTTTGGGATCAGTAAGATTTTTAATGTTTTTTAATGATTCTTATGCTCATCAAGGCTGTATTTATTTGATCAAAAATACAGAAAAAAACAGTAATATTGTGAAATAGTATTGCAATTTCTAATATTGGTGTCCTATTTTAATATACTTTAAAATATAATTTATTTCTGTGATGCAGCGCCCAATTTTTATCAGCCATTACTCCAGTCTTCAGTGTCACATGATACTTCAGAAATCATTCTAATATGCTGATTTATTATCAGTGTTGAAACTGTTGTGCTGCTTAATATTTTTTTGGAACCTGTGATACATTTTTTATTTGATTCTTTGATGAATAACGTTTTTTTTTCTGTACATTTAATCAAATAGATACAGCCTTGAGCATAAGAAGCTTCTTTAAAAAAACATTAAAAAATGTACTGATCCCAAACTTTTGAACGGCAGTGTAAATATACAAATATTTTAAAACAAATGTTTAAAACCTTCTATACAATTCTTGTCTAAAACAGAATGAAACAAATGAAACCTCATTACCAAGCAGCACAGAGAACCTCGATCCTCCACCTGTTGCTCCTAGAGTGGACACAGACCCCTCTCCAGCCCCCAATCTGCACGTCCAGACTCAAAGAATCAGTTTCCTCAGTCAGGAAAGCCAAAAGAGGGCCTCTCCCACCTCGATGCCATCCCAAACCCAAACCCTACCCCATACATCTGCACAGACGCCCCAGAGTCCACCTACCTCCAGAGGAAGAGCCGCCAGCACAGATAGATTTCTCGATAAACTCAAATTCTCCCCAGCAGGTGAGGGTCGTCACTTGTAAAACAGACCTACAAAACTTTTATTTATTTACCCTGCTGTGCTTTTCCCAGCCATGCACTCAAGTGAGCATACCTTCAGTATGTGAATGTAGGTTATGACTCAAAGCTCCTACACATTCCCTCATGTTTAGCAGGCCCGGGGTCGGTTGAGGTGAAATTAGGGAAGAACAGGACGGAAGCCGACGTGCGACGTTACACCGACGAGCGAGACCGGCTGGAACGAGAGAGGGAGGAGGTTAAAAACACTCTGGCCACACTGAGGAAAGACAGACGAGAGGTGAAAGAGGAGCTGAGCTCCTGCCAAGGTACTGCAGCGCCACCTATTGGTCATGTTTGGAAATGCCCATGTGTTAAAAGCAGTAGTTTTGATGGTGTTTCAACTTTGTGTTTTCTTTCCATTTTCAAATTGCAATTGTTTTTATATATTACTTGTTAGTTCTGACATACCATAACACCACAATGTCACTTTAAATGTAAAATGCTAATAAATGCTTTTATGGCTTGTATAGACCCTACTCAGCAGGCCTCTCTGGAGGCTCGTCTGAAGCAGATGGAGGAGACGTGTCGTGAGGCGGAGCGTCGGCGAGTGGAGGTGGAGCTTAGCCTGATGGAGGTGAAGGAGAATTTGAGAAAAGTGGAAGCTGGACCCTTTACACTGGGCACCACGGTAGATAGCAGTCTACTGGAAACTTCAACGGTTAGTATGACGACAGCAAATAAGAATTTTTAAATATATAATATATAATTTAAAATATATAAAAACAGAAAGTTATTTTGAATTGTAATATTATTTCACAATCTTACTGTTTTTACTGTGTTGTGTTTTTGATCAAATAAAGGCAGCCTTGGTGAGCATAAGATACATGTTTCAAAAACAAACAAGCAAAAAATAAAAAACTTACCTACTCAAACTTCTGAATAGTAGTGTATAATCTGTTGCAAAACCAAAGGAGCTGCTTACCTGACATAAGCATACTAGGGGGAAATATTCAGTATAGTTAAGAACAAAATTCCACTGTTTATAATAATTCTACTTTTTTTGAGCAACACAAGTCTAGCTGATTATATTGTTGTGTATTCTAGCCCAAGATGGCACCAGTATCCAGCCCTGCTCCAAATACACCCACCAACACCACTAACAATGGAGATTCACCTGTCAACTCCGCCACAGCGCTGAAGAACAGACCCCTGTCCATCATGGCATCCGGCAAAGGAAACGTTCTGCAGAAGGCCAAGGTCAGAGTCCACTTATGCATCCATAGTCCTAACAGAGAGCTTAGCTTTTTGATAACATTTAATACATTTCTCAATCAAAGCAACTATGCACAGAAAAGTACTAATTAACATGATTTTTGGACTTGCACCGTGGCAATTCCATTGCATTCTTTGAAGTACATTAAAGTACCATATGAATAGCAGTATATACACTACCATTTAAAGGTTTGTTTGTTTAAATTTTAAATGTTTTTTACAAAAGTCTCTTATTCTGACCAAGGTTGCCAATTTATTTGGTCAAAAATACAGTAAAAACAGTAATATTGTGAAATATTACTACAAAATAACTGATAACTATCATGTTTTACTACAAAAAAATTTATTCATTGATGGCAAAGCTGAATTTTCAGCAGCCATTTTTTCATCATTCTTTGAAAGTAAAGTTCAAAAGAACAGCATTTATTTGAAATAATTTTTTTGTGTAACAAAGTTAATGTCTTTACTGTCACTTTTGATCAAATGAATGCATTCTTGCTAAATAAAAGCATTAATTTCTTTATTTAAAAAAAGCTTACTTTCCCCCAAACATTTGAACGGTAGTGTATATATAACAATGGTATATGAATATGGTTATGCAAAGTTCTAATGGTATTACTATCTGAAACCATTATCACCACAAGTGTATTCAGTCATTGTTTTTTTTACAATATATTCCTGTTATGTCATTCTCTCTCTGCAGGAGTGGGAGAAAAAATCCACAACCTAGTGGAAGGGAACAGACAGCACAAATTGACTTTTTAGCCAAAGCTCAAAGGACTGCTAAGGCAAATGCTTCAAGCAGGGAGGGAGAGAAAGAGAGGGTGTGTCCAATGACCTGCAGGCTCCGCCTCTCTAACACATCACCCTCCACTCTACCCTGCTTCTCTGCATTCAGAGGCTGAGATGGTACTGGGTACATGCAAGCAGCTGATCCAAGACAATATTTTCTGTTCCCTGCCAAATAACGCCACTGGGCGACAATCGATTTTAAATCTATTCAAATCAATTTTATGTAAGAGAAAGGAAGGGAATAACTGAAATAACTTCCAGTGGTGTGCACATTATTTGATGGATGTTTCACAAGCTTGAGAAGAGACCAAAAAGCAGTTAGGCGAGCTTCGAGAACCACTATTTTTAGATTGAAACATTTAGATTCAAAAATTCATAAATCAGCTATTCTGGTACATTGTAGCTTGGTTCATGTATGCTGGTAACCAAGATGTGAATATATATTACATATCCGTTCAGTGTTTTTGATTTGTTACTGTACGCTAGCTGAAACATGCACTTTTTATTCAAATAAAAGTTTGTACTGACAACAATTCATATTTATGCAAAACCAATAGTTGAGCACAAGGCAACCTGTTTTGAAATGGAAGAAAACTGCATTTTCTCCAGTAGGTGGCACCAAAACAACACTATAAAGTATTTGAGTTAGGCTCAAAAGTTCTGGAAAAAATTTAATAGCTTTACAATAGACAAACATACCACTGTAGTTAAAACAAAATAAATATGCTAAAAAACGTAAGCCTCTAACATGAGGCTTTCTGTAAGAAGGAGTTTTCAATATGACAAGCAGGTCCAAATCTCAGACAGAATATATGTTCATAAAGGGTTTTCAGTGCTGAATAAACTATACAAACAGCATCAATAACCCCTTAAGATTGACCACAAATAAAACAAAAGAATAAAAAATCCTAATTTAAGTCATTAATAGCATTTACAAAATTCATGAAATAGATACACATCCCGTTTGAAGTGTCACCCTGCGTGTTCATCAGCATCTTAAGTCAATGTGAATTTAGAATGATTTCTAACTCACATCGCTGAGCTGTGTCTCTGTCTATGTGTGTTTTTCCTCTTTATCTGTGCTGAACTGGGGATGCATGTCTCCTGCGGTGCTGCTTATAGCGCTGCAGCAGCTCTTTTTCACTCTTGTGCTGACGGCGCCTCAGGCCTGCAGGTTTAGGAAGATCTCCTCTGGATGGCTGCTCTCTGCTTCCTGAAAAACAAGTTCACAAAATACATAAATCAAAACACTTAAACACCCTGCCAACCCCTTGTCCATTCTGAAAACACCAAAATTATGACCCATCTGGCGGGCATAGAAAAATAAACAAATCATATTGAGCTCTGACATAAGCAGATGTGTGAAGCCATGTTACATCATGTTCATAAGATGGTTTAAATAATCAGGATTTACATTGCAATCAATCAGTTTCTTAATCAGTATTGTAGTATTATTATAAAACAAAAATATCTAAAACAATCTAACCTTAAAACAACACTAAAAATAAGTACAATTAGGTGAAAAATAGTACATGTTTTCAGATAATACATCTAGATTATTTGGTATTTATTTATTTATTTTCATTTTATAAAGCATGGAAATAAAATGTATAAATTACCATTTAAATGTTTTGGATTGATAAAGGATTGGGTTTGGGATTATGCTCACCAAAGCTGCACTGATTTGATCAAAAGTACAGGCAAACAGTAATATTATTACAATTTATAAATAACTTGTCAGCAGCCATTGCTCCAGTCTTAAGTTTCACATGATCTTTCAGAAATCATTCTAATATGCTGATTTGGTGCTCAAGAAACATTTCTTATTATTATCAATGTTGAAAACAGTTGTGCTGCTTAATATTTTTGTGAAACTAACTCATTTTTTAAAATTATTTGATGAATAGAAAGTTCAAAAGAACAGCATTTATTTGAAAGAGAACTCATCTATAACAAAACTGTATCTTTACGGTCACTTTTGATGAACAAAAGTATTAATTTCTTTAAAAAAACAACTTACTTAAGGGTAGTGTACATACCTTAAATAAGAAAAACTAAATGCTTTTACTGGTCACTTTTGATCAATTTAATACATCCTTGCAAAACTAAATTAAAAAAAACAAAACTAAAAAAAAAAAAAAAAAAAGAAATCTCACGACTAAATTGTGAGGTATCGTGAAATATTTATACATTTTTACCCCTTTTTTTGCCTTTATTTAGATATCAAAGTAGTTAGATTGGATAGGAAGTGAAGTAAGAGACAGAGAGGGGACAGGATGGGAAAGGACCAGGAACTGAACTCTGTTTGCCTGTGGCGCAACCACATTATGTGTTGGAGCACTATCTCATCTGTAACCTAAAGTAACCTAAAAATGCGAAAAGCTTGAATGAAAACTACTATATATTTATCAACTACCCACTATTGTCCAAAAACTAATTAGTAGTTATTGGTACTGACGTGTTTCGCAGTGCGGACCCTTCCAACCATTGCAATCACAGCGGTAGCTGCTGTTGAGCAGCACACAGATGCCATCATTCATACAGGGGTTTGGATTGCACAGGTTAACAGGTTTCTTCACGTCTAGAAAGAGGATCAAATTACAGAGAGCAACACAAGAATATAAATACATCAGAGATGAAAAATGCTTTCAAAGAGGAATATCATTCATCTCATTACCTGCACACACCATCTGTACCAGCACATCCTCAGAGTATTTCAGGTCATCATATGAAGGTACAGAGATCATGTGATCCTCAGAGCCGGCGATGCGGAAGAGAACCTCCTGCTGTATGTCCCCGATGCCGATCACAAACACTGACACTCCGCTATCCCGGATCTTTTGGGCAGGCACCGCTGCATCTTCCGCACTCTTCCCATCAGTCAGCACCACCACGGCCTTGTTGACTCCAGGCCGTGCTCCTTTCCCCACCGTCAGGCTTTGGGAGAGCACATGGAGCAGTGCTGAACCTGTAGAAGCCTTCCCACCCAGAAAAGCAGCGTCTCCCACCGCCTTCAGCACAGCGGAGCCCGAGTCATACTTGTCCAGGTCAAAGACCGTGACAGGCCGCCTCCCATAAACCACCAGTCCCACCTGAGCCACATCTCGATTGATGTCGAACTGCACTGAGGTGCTCCGAACAAAGTCTTGAAGGTGGACAAAGTTGTCCTTTCCTACACCACTGGAGGCATCCAACACAAAAACAAGGTCCAAAGCTTGACCCAGACAGCCTAGCGAAGACAAAAAAGAGCTTTAGTATAACAGTTAAGAATCATAACCAAACTAAAAAGAAAAATAGTTTACCTCCAAAATGTTTATCTGTTTGGGAAACCCTGCTTTAAATATGCATTGTCATATTTTAGTGTATTATGCTAAGAGTGTATTCAGAACATGATTTACACATTCTGATAAATGCATACCTTCCAGTTCACTTAAGAATTTGCATCCTAAAGGGACATAATAATTAAAAAAAAGTCTGAGATGGGAGGCTAATAAATATTCCAATGCTTTAGCTTTTTTTTTTTTTTGTTACAAGTTGTTTTGTTTCCCCAAGAAACTTGTGAACTGTGTTCACTTGCAAGAACTTTGCATTCCATTGCAAAACTTTTGCCGTGGCTGACAGTTACTTTTCACTAGTAACTTAAATTTAGTACATTTCATCTTAGTAACTTTGCATTTAATCACAAAACATGCATTCCCTCTCAAAACTTTGCCTTCACTCACAGTTACTATCAATATTATTACATATTACAATTTTTACACAAGTTTTGCTTTCCCCTGAGAAACTTTGAGTTGACTCACAAAATCTTTGCATTTCCTCAAGAAACTTTACGCTCAGGCAGCTTAAGCAGGTCAATCTCAGACATTACTAATTATGACTGAATTATTTAAAACATATTACATTTGCCTTCTACAAAAAACTCTGTAAGAGCACTAATTTACTGCATTGGGGTAATTTTGTCTCCGTTTTCGTCAAAGGTATGTTCTGTATAAGATCAATGAGTTAATGCAATGGTTCACATTTTCATCTTCATGTAACTCTTTGTTAATATACATTTTTGTCAGTAATTTTGTAGATGAGATTAATACTAGTTGCACAAGCTACTTTTATGATGCTTTTTGTCCTTTTTGACACATTTCACATTACATTCTGCTAAACATTTTTTTTTTTTCACTGAAGAAAGAAATGATAGACTGACACCAGAGTGACTAAATCATAATTCTGGGTTAACTTATTCCTTGAGGAACAACAATCTCAGATAAGCATTTTTGAGGACTTAACAGTGGTCAAAGTGAACAAGTTTAGATCTTTACCCTGGTTGTCGACACTGCAAATTTTGGCTCTTAGCTCTGGGATCTTTGCGCTCAATCTGTCAGGTGACTGGTATGTGATGGTGCGCTGGGGGTTCGCCGTGATGTTGTTTATTTCAGCCCTCATCCCGTCTGGCGCTACACCGATGATGAAGATCTCCCTGTCCCGTGCGTACTTCGCTGGCTCCACCACAGGGTCCGCAGACGGCGTTCCTGTGAGCAGCACTACCACTCGCGGCAGGTCGTCCTGAACGTCAGCGAACACAGGTGCGCTCTGGAAGCCGTGGCGCGTGATGTAGCGAAGGGCATTTCCAGCTTTGGTCTGCCCACCCCGATACTGCATGCCCTCAACAGCCTGGATCAGCTTTGCCGGGTCTCTGTGCTCCCCGATTTTGGCTTCTATCTTCACGTCACTTCCATACTGGGCCAACCCCATCTTCACAGGTGTGTCCGAACTCAGTACAGCCTGCATGAAATGCTTCAGGAAGGACTTGAAGCGCAAGAAACCCTCCAGAGTAAGTGCAGAGGAGCCCTCAACCAGGAAGAGCACATCCACAGAGCAGTCAAAACTCAGAATGGGAGCTGGAAAAAGAGGATATGGTTAAAAGCCACTCTGATTGACATACATTTGAATTCCATTCTCAGATCTAAGGAACATGCTTGACATACCACTTCTGCATTATCTCATGTTTAATTTTAGAGTTTAGTTAGGATCATGTGAGACATAACATTGTTAAAGGAGAAGGGCATATGGGCTCTACGCTCCTCTATCCATTAACACATGCAAAAATGCATTTACGAACAGCATAAACAAACAAAAAGATCCATCTTTCATTCTGTGGGTAAGTGAGGTCATCTGATCTAACCCCTGCCTGTGATGTCATTCACACTGACTGACAGAAGGAGGTTATGCGTGTCATCACATTCTGATTGGCCGGAGGATTCTATGTCAGTGTTACAATGGAATTCATAGGAACTGATGATGGCTTCTATCTCTGAATCTCATTTAGGAAACTTCCCCCATCTTGAAAATACGTGTGTGTGTGTGTGGTCAGAAACAAGTCTACACACTATTATTACTATCATCACTGCTAGATTTATAAACAGAACATATATAGAACATAAAAAAATGTGTGGTTGGTCACTACAGTTCATAGTCCGTATATGTTGCAACAGGGACCATGTTTATTCATAATTTGTAACACAATAGCAATAATAAAGAAAAATGTAAT